AGAGGAGGGCTCAGCTCATTCTGCCTCTCCTTCATTGTCTCTCCCTTCTTTTTTCCTCTCCTCCTCCTTTGTTATCGTTTCCCTTAAAAAGCCACTCCCTGTTACCTGTTACCTCACCCCCTCCGCCATCTAATCCTTTCTGTTAGACACAAGGGCCTAATCAAATCCGCAGCTCTGACGAACATGTTTTTTTTTTTCATTTTTTTTTTTTCATTTGATTTTCGGTTTCCAAATCCCTTTAAACAGGATCCAAATGTTGGCCCTCAGCTCCTGCTGCTCTCGTCACTCAGCCAGCTCACCTACATCCCAGCATGGGAGGAATTGGCCTGATTAATTCCTCTCTGACTGACAGACAGCTGCTGCAGGGTCAAGAGAAATCACACACAAACATGTTGATTGATAGACAGACAGACTTAAATACAGCGAGGATGACACAGCAGCGTGCGTGTGGTTCACTAATACGGACTTATTTATGAACCACATCCGAACTCATTCAAAATATCTATTTTGAATGTTGATATTTTTTTGTTTTTTGTCACAAACAGAAGTAAAAAAAGTACAATGGATTTTGTAATCTGTCTACAAATCATTATTAGTGGGTCAAAAACAATTAGATTTGTATAATGAGTAAGAAATTTATGTCTGAATAACATTTGCAGAGGACTAAGTTGTGTGTTTTGAAAATGTGTAAAACATTTTAATCATATACTGAACAATTGTACCAACAAAAAACATGAACCGAGAAGTAAAACTTTAACTTGTTCTGTAAAAGACTAACACTCTTCTTCTTTTGCTAAATACATCAAAACTTTAAATGGGAACAATCTATAAAACTACAAAGATTACTGAATATTTTAGCATTTTCTGATTTATAAAGCACTTAATTGTGAAATAAAAATAGTGTACCCCAGTTCAAAGGAATATACAACCGAGTTAATTTGCAAAATGTGCATGTCTATTTGAGCATTAATTTACAGTTAGTGACAATAAAATGTGCAGATAAGAGTAGAAATATTACTCAGAATGAGTAAAGTTGTACAAATGTAGCAGGAATGTAAACACTTGTTGACTTTGTTGTGAGCAGTGATGGTCATAAAGTCATACAGCTGCAGGGAGGAAGGATCTACAATAACGCCTCAGTAGTGTGTCACTTAGGAGCAACAACATGAGGTGGGAAACATTTAAATGAAAGATTTATATAATAGAGAAAGAAAAATTGAGCAATTCCAACAAAATACCACATTCTGTAATTATTTATAATTGCCTAAGTATAATGGTTTTGTTGTGGAAATGATTCGGAAACCATGGCCTGATTTTAATTCAGTATTTTGTGTAATTGAAGCAGATTCATATTCTTCCACATTCAGCTTTGGCAAAAAATTAAGAGACCACTGAAATTGATCAGTTTCTCTGATTTTACTTTTTATATTTATATGTTTGAGTAAAATGGACATTGTTCTTTTGTTCTATGAACTGCTGACAACATGTTTCTGAAATTCCAAGCAAAAATGTAGTATTTATTTGCAGAAAATGAGAAATGATCAAAATATCAAAAAAGATGCAGTGTTATCAAATCATGCAAAGAAAACAAGTTCATATCCGTTTAGAAACAACAATACTGATGTTTTAACTCAGGAAGAATTCAGAAATCAATATTTGGTGGAATAACCAGGATGTTTTCAATGCAGTGGGCTTTTAAATTTTTTTCCAGAGCTGTATATGACATATGGATTTTGTTCAGCTTACATTTTAGATTAAATAAGAAACCTTTTGACAATTACCCACCCTGCGGTGAAGGTTTGCAGTGAAGTATGTGTGACGAGTACAGACGGGGCGGTGAGGTTGTCTCATCTTTTCTTTACTGTTTATTAGGTCAGTGCGTGTCGGGTTCTCCCGCCTCTCAATCTCCTTAGCGTGTGTAAATTAGGCTCAGAGGAAGTCAGTGCTCACCAACGGCTTGCATGCAATGACACCAGACCACAGAAGCTCAACTGTTCCCAAAGACATGTTGCCATGTGACCAGGTACCTCTGGAAACCCCAAATCTGCTCCGCCTGCTCAACCAGAGGTCAAGCTGATGTCTGGCGATCAGAGCAGAAATAGAAAAAGGTCTTAGTGGCAAAATGTTTTCCTCTCCAAGACACCAACTTAAATACAATTATCACTTTAAGTTGATATTCAGCCAATAGATTCATAACGCAGGACAGAAATGCTCTTCATATGTCATAGAAGCACACAGCGTTACTTCCAGGATTAAAATAAAAATCCAACAAAAACCCAGCTGTAATTCACTGCAATGGTAGTTTGTGCTGAGCATTGACACAATGTTAGATGCAATTAATCTTCAGATCCTCCTCATCAGAAATCCACGGTGATTCACAGAGGTAGTACAGGTGTGTCGTTTCCATGGTTACTCCTGCTGTTGGCATCAATGTGAAAAAGCCATATCAACATAAATTTGAGGGGTTTGTTCCTGAAAATCATTTCCTTTTTTAATTGCTTGAGTTTCAGTTTAATGAATGAACAAATTACTCATCTGATTTTGTTTTTTATTAACTCAAACATTTTTCCAGACAGTAGCTTCTGTGACTTTTATTAAATAATTTGAACATAAACCAAGATTTGTATCTTTAGTTTTCATGCTTTTGATTATTATATATTAAAGTCAAGTTAAAAAACAAACAGACAATTAAATCAATAATTTCTGAATAAACTTTAAAAAAAAAAAAAACAACCTAAGACTCTCTTTCTCTTTCATACTGGGAACAGCTATAAAAACTCCGATTCGTTCTCTAGTCACTTTCTTGGACCTTTGTGAGTCAGCCAAACACTGACACCTACTGGGAAACCGGTGTAACCGGTGTAAGTTCACAAGAACTTACAACGGCATGTATCATCTCTGTGATACATGCCGTAGTATGAGACCCTAACAAGAAAATAAAATATTATCAGCATCACCTGATAACTATGTTGGTCTGCAACACAGTGGTGCAGTTAGCTGCTGTTGCCTTTGGGCAAGAAGGTCAAATTTTGGTCTGGGGTATTTCCAGGGGTGAGAGTAGGGGGGTACGGTAGGGTACTGCGTACCCCTAAAAGATTTAGCGGGGGTAAGCAGTATCTGCAAGAGAGGGGAGCGGCTGTAAACGATCAATGGGTTCACTGAGCAGCTGTGAGTGCACCCACTGATCAGCCGTGATTGATTAGTTTTTCAAGAACAATCCAAAACACTGACTTAATCAGTGAATAATTAGCTTTTCCTCCCCCATTTCATATTGTTTCTGAACTGTTCTTTGTTAGAGCAGGGCTGCTATACGTCGATCGCGGACGGTTTTGAGTAGATCTCGGCATTAGGTGACAAACTGGACGCCGCCAGGAGGCTGAGACCAGCACGTCCTCCTCTGACTCCTTATCAAAACGTTCATAACTTTATTAAAGAACAACAACAACAAAAAGTCAACAAAACGTTTTTCAAATTAATGACCCAACAGCAATAATAATCTCAGTGACTATTGTTTCAACAAGGTGTTGCGCAGTTCTGTGTGTTTCGGTTCCGTTATCAAAATAACGAGCAGAGCAGGAGTTTAAAATTAACTAATCAACCACCGCTGTGTTTAGTCGCAAAATAAATAAATATCAAGCCTGAAAACCTGATATCGTAACGGATTAAATGTTTTAAACGTAATCTGTGCTCGGCTCGAGGAGCGAGCGGTTGCCACGGCAACGGGTGTGCTTAATTAAACGACAAAGAGAGAGAGAGAGTAAAAAAGTGCGAATGGTTTAGAGTTGATCGCCTGTTCAGTGCCGTATTTCTGCCGAGTTTGCATGTTCTCCCAAATGATTAATATGTGTCTGATGAAACTGGAACCTTTGAGCCACAGAATGAAAAGATACGGTAAAGAGACGCTGCTGAGCATCGCCAACATTGTGAAACATGGTGGTGGCCTCATTATGCTCATGGTCCGGAGGTGGAGCCTGGATTTTTGTCAAGGTGGATGAAAGTGGGAATGGGTCCAAATAACAGTCTGAACAGGAAACTGTAGAAAGCTGAATGTGAAGAGGGTTTTTATTATTATTGTTATTATTATTATTTTAGCAACATTTCAGTCCGTTTTTAAAAAATGTTTGTTCTTGGTCTACTTTTGTGTTTCTTTTTAGGGGTGCACCAACAAATCGACCAGCCGATGAATCCGATTTCCTTGATTTTGGGAGATCGGTGATTGGCCGATACTTATATTTGAAGCTGATCTTTTCCACTGATCATCAGCAAAGGTGTAAAAATCAGCCACTGTCCTCGTTTTCTCTGCAGTGAGAGAGGTTTGACTGACAGACCGAGTGTTACCACCTCAGCGACTTTCTTGCTATACTTAGCAACATTTCAGAAAAATAAATTGTAATCACCAGATCAAGCTTCTTATAGAATGATGAGCGACGATCGGCCAGAAAACTGCAATTGGTGCGCCTCTTATTTTATTACTTATTTCTTCGTATTTTTCTTTTGAAATTGCTTTAAGTGAATTTTATTTGACGTGTTTTAGACTAACAAATGATCCGTTATCTAAATGTTTCAGGACAGACTGCAGAATTTGACCTCTTTCTCCTGAATTATCAACTAAATAAAACACTGATGAGGGACAAACAAAGTTAAAAATTGGAGTTTCCTGCAGAAACCGACTTGCTCAATTATTCTTTCCTTTTTTTCAAAGTGTCCTCTGCGTCACCTTAATTTCCTGAGCGAGTGTTTAATCTGTGACTCTGCTTGTGGCTGTAAATGAAAGGCCAGGCAGGCTGTGTCCGTGTCGGGCCTCCTCCTCCTCCTCCTCCTCCTCCTCCTCCCGGCGCATGGAGCAGGAATGTGTGATGGGCCGGCTGTATGTGGGCCGGCGATAGGCCCGGCTCTGCTGCTCTCTCTGTCTTTGGCTTAAAAAGTTCAAGTCATTATTCTCCTCCTGCTGCTATTCAGATGAAGTCCCATTGGCTCATTGTTATTCTGCCCAAGTGAGAGAGGGGGACTCAGAGAATGGGAGGCTGACTGGGGTTTCCAACGGCTGGGTTGCTGGTTGTACTGGTGCAGGTTTTGGTTGTGGCTCTCTGGTCAGTTTTCTCTCTCTCTCTCTTTCTCTCTCTCTCTCTCTGCAGGCGTGAAGGCATGTTGATAATCGGCTCAGTAATGAGGAAAAGGTACTGAATGGCACCGAATATCTGACCCCAATTCCCGGGAGAAAAAAGAGAGGCAAAGGCAGGGGAGAAAAAAAGAGGAAAGGAGAAGGCCATGTGAAAAAAGGAGGTGGAGGGGAGGTGAGATTTAGTGCTCTGCTGGATGAAACAACCCCCCACAAACTGACGGAGAGGGAAAGTAGTCTAATAGGAAGAAAAGAGGGGGAGTTATAGCTCATTAAACCCCTAGAAGACATGCTGCAAGCTTTTTTCATTTCCTACAAAGAACCCAGAAAAGGTATGTAACTTCTTCTTTTATTATTGCAGTTCAGTTCTTGAGCTCAAAGCTGGAGATCAGCTTTTAGTTCTCTGAAAAAGTTTTAAAAAAATGTGTTTAAATAGTTTCTTCAAACATTTCCTGCACAGCTGTCTTAATGAGTAGAAGAAGCAGGTTTATTTGCAGCAACATTTTTGATGTACTTATGCAGCCTCAGGTGCAAAAACAACGGATTTAAGCGCAATTCGCTGCTCTTGCTTTAATACGAAAACATCGTTTGATGGTGCAAAATGTAAATGCATGAATATCTCACGGAAAGGTATAGTAGAAAATGAAAAGTTGGAAGCAATATCTCCAAATTACTAGTGATTTTTGCATAAATCTTGTGCATGAATTTCTTACTGTTACTGTCAGTGGCTTAGCGTGTGCATTCTGATCAGAAAACGCATGAAGTTAATTCATCCAAAAGCTACATATTTTAGTTTTAGTTTATAACCATGCACCTAAATCAAGCTGCTTTTCTCTTTTTGAAGAAAAATCACATGAATGCATCTTCTGTATCACTTCCCAACCACCTGCAGACCTTTCCTGTCGGATCCTGAAACAAGCAGCACTTTATTTCTCAGATTTAACCCCAACGAAGCTAGAATATCCTCACCTAAAAGCTTCGTCCATTTCACTTATATAAAAAGGACATACTTTGACCAAAGCTCCCACTTCTCCACCTTTTTTTTTCTCCCCCAATTAGAAACCACAGACTTCACCAGGGTGGCCCTAATGAGCAAGACTGTGGAAATGTTTTCTTTGTGTCCTGTAGCATTAGTTGATCTGGGTCAACATTTTCTCTGTAATCTCGCTGTGATTACAAAGGAGGGGTGCGCAGGGAAAACCGGGTGAGTCTTTTTGCCATTCAGTCCAGACTGGAAATCCTCTGACCCCTCTGGGCGGCTCGTTCCCCCACTCTGCACAGGAAACGTAGACGTCGCCTGTTTGTTCAGCGCTCTGACACCTGTGACTCGGACTGGAGGAGCCCATTGTTCTCATCTGAACTCGATTGGCACATGAATCTTGGAGAAATATTTGGGTTGTGAAGTGATAATGCAGAAAAACAGAGATGGGATCCGTGTGAAAATAAAATTGTCCTCAGATGAAACCCAAGACGCTGCCTGTCGCTTGTTTTGATGGCTCCAGTGGCAGCTCTCCCGTTTAAATCCCTCCTTAAAGAGAAAAGTCGGGATATTTACGAGGAGAAACCGAAAAAGTTTCTTTGGTAGATTCGTAGGAGATGCTTTAGACGTCTCTGGATTTAAGTTCATCTCTTCTTTTTCAGATCATCTGTGAAGTTTAGACAGTCGAGCAACCGAGAAAAAGGAGAACCAAACCACAAACGGCAACAATGTCTCGAACTGAAGAGATCAACAAGATGACAGAAAATGTCTACAAGGTATAACTGCATCACCTTTTATATTTGGTTCCAGTTTTACAGTGTTTTCCTGAAACCTTCATGGAATCTGTTGGCAAGCTTCTCACAATAAGAAATTTGTCGCATAATAAATTAACATTAGCTAAATAATTTCCATTCGGATGATTCGTTTTATTAGTTGTTTTTGCTTGCTGTGCTTTATTTTGGATGTTTAAAATGTTTTCCAGCTCATGTGTGGAGTGATCTGTACAAATTTAACGTTTATTGGTCTTCGAGGGGGCAAACTTGCATCATTATTAATTGAAAATAGTCTCAAAATGACAATATTATAATTTATTGTAATAAATTTTGTGACAATTTCTTACCCACAAACATAACCCCTATGTTTTGGGAACGTACCTGTTTAGGTCCAGGGTAATAAGTAGTTAATAATTAAGATTTTGAGAATCTAGAAAGAGACTTTTAGTTTTTTAGGTAATGTTTGATAGATTCTGGTAAAGTGAGCATCAAGTTCCTTAAAAGTTTTATGAAAATAGCTCATAACTTCCAGGAAACCAGACAGCATATTCTAAAAAAGGGACCAGTAAGATCTTAAGAACTGGCCAGTAAGTTCTGGGTAAATAACCAGTAAACTCAGTAAAATAAAAAATAAAAAAATACCTGGTATGTGAGACATTTAATAGTTTCATATTCTACTGAAAATCCCATTAATACTTTGTAGACGTGTTTTCACATATTTTCTCCATATGATTGTATTTCATGAATTTATGATCAATTGATGAAGGTTGTTGGATTTAATACGTATTTTTTCTACACTAGTCGGGCTTTTGCCTCTTCCTGCATTGCTATCATTAATATTTTTTTACTAATATCTTTGATCTGTATTTTAATTGTGCAAACTAAACTAAGGTTCTGTAAAGTTGCCTCCAAAGATCCAGGACAGTTTAAGTTCTTTAAAAGTACAGGCTGCAACATGTAATTGTACCACATTCAGGCTAGTTGGCTAATCGGTGAAAATCAAATTAAACATTTTATTTCTAGTCCCAAACCTTTTTTTAGATTGTCGTCATTTTAAAACTTTAGAGATTTGGCCTCTGCTTCCAACTTATCTGGGTTTACTGAAAGAAGATGAGCTTTACATTCTCCTGCTGATCGGGTATTGACTATTCAGATCCTCACCCTAAAAATCCTGAACTTCCCCTTTAAGAAATCAGTTTTTTGTGCTAACAGGGCATCCTGGACCAGTTCAACCCCAGTCTGAAGAACTTTGTCACCATGGGAAAACACTATGAGAAAGCTCTGACAGGTTGGTCCATTTTCCTGGGATGTGTCAGAATCATTCAGCATTTATAGGCTGACATTCACTCTGTGTGCTGCAGGAGTGACGGTGGCTGCAAAAGGCTACTTTGATGCTCTAGTGAAGCTCGGGGAGCTGGCCAGTGACAGCCAGGGCTCCAAGGAGCTGGGTGAGTCTGCAGCTGAAGAACCCGGTGGAGTTTTTGATCGTTAAACCGGAGTAGATCGTCACGTAGGGAGTGTTTGTGAGATGGGGAAACTCTGAGGAAAACAGAGGGGAAAGGGAGAGAGTAGAGCCATTGTTGGGAGATTAACAACACCACATGATCTCATTGTAATGCTGAAAACGGCGGGGGAGGCAGGCAGGAGTGTCGGAGGGCGAGCTGCCAGCGACCACATACTACAGCGCCGTGTGACTGCGGGAGGGACGAGCACTGACCGACACTTTGTTCATGAGAAACTGTGTCAGAGCAACGACTTCTGGTGCTTCCTGACTGGCCTGTCGGGCTGCTTTGGAGAGGTTCTGTTGGAGACTGAGTTTGTCCACATTACACTGTAAAAATTAACTTTCGGGTCTTTTTATTGGAACCAAAACAAAGTGGAGCAAAGAAGAACTTTAACTGGACAGCTTAGTGACAAAAATGACTTTTGTTACTAAAGATAAAGCTCTGGAAACATAACCAGTAAATGTAGAAATACAAAGATCATATTTTTAATAAAAATGTAAAAGTACCTAGATAAAATAAAACATGAATCACTATTTTTGCTAAAATTATGAAAATCTTACACAGAAATAATATAATAAAATCTGAATATATAATAAATAATTTTATAGTTAAACTAAAAGCACAGCTTATTGGTCCATCTAGGTTAGGGCTGCAGCTTATCGATTATTCTATTGATTATTCCAACAATTAATCCGTCAATTGTATGAAAATAAAACTGCAACAACATAGTTTTCTTTTACTGAACACTTGATCATTCATGGTAAAAGATGCATCTGCAGCTAAACATCAACATGTGAAAAGCTCAGTCCTTTCTGCTTGACTTCACATCAACACAGCGTAGAGCTAATCTGCAGATTATTTGATTAGATTAACCTATCAATAATTGGATAGCAGAAGGTGGTTAGTAGAAGAGATTTATTTCACAGAATTTGAAGCAGCTGAAATTAAAACTGCCTCTAAAGAAGTTCTGGATAGAAATGTTACAGACAAAGGTTTCTGTTTTGTCTTAACTGTAAATTGTACAGATTATTTGTACAGTTGTGGCTTAATTACTGGTCTGAGAATATTGCCCTTTCAGCAAATTGCCTTTTCTTTTAAGTCTGTGTACTCCAGTTAGTGATTAATTGTTGGTCATATAATTCATAAAATGCTTCTTTTCTAACTTCCTGCAACGGGTTTTCTGTGCTGCAGTGCTCACACTGGTGTGTAAATATGATCAATTGATAATTCAGTTTTTTAATTTTCTATAGCAGTGCAACACAATGACAACATTTCTATTTCATCTCATCAGCACCAGCTGCTGTTTGTGAACAGAAATTCAACCATCCCAAGATATGAGAGGCTATAGAACCAGTTTACTGTTTGGATTTTTATTTTCATATTTAAGTGTTTAACTCCATTAGATAATGCATCTCTGTTTTGTGTGTAACCTGCATTATGTTGACAGTCTGTTTTTGCTGTTTAGGGGACACGCTGTTTCAGATGGCCGAGGTTCACAGGCAGATTCAGGTGCAGCTGGAGGACGTGGTGAGGAAATCAATCCTCGTTATTGACAAACAACAAGACTACTTTTATTTAGCACTGTTTAACCACCATCTGAAAAAGGACAAAAGTATAGTTTTTTGAATAAATATGCTTAAAATCTTTGACAGGCAAACATTTCTCTGGTAAAATGCTTGTGACATTTAACAAACTTGTTGCTTTGCTTCGTTGCAGCTGAAACTGTTTCACTCTGAGATGCTTGCCCAGCTGGAGCAGAAGCTGGAGTTGGACATTAAATACCTCACAGTGAGTTCATGCTTTTGCTTTTTAATTATTCAAGAAGCAAAGCCACGAAAACTTGCTAAGCCCGGAGCTCGGGGCACCAGGGCAGAAGTCATTCATCCAGCGGTCCGCTGGGTTTTGGAGTTAAAAAATGGTTAAAGTTGATATGAAATTTGAAAATATCGCTTGATAATTATGTGTTATTGGAAGATTAACACCTGAACACTAACTATAAAATCTTAAAAAAGACAGTCACTAAAAATACTAAAATAAATAAACAGTGCTAAGCCTGGTGGGGGCACAAGTAAGGCCTGGTGGCCCGCCAGGCTTATAATACACTAAACCCTGGTAGTTGTTACTTTTTTTTGCTTTCTTCTTCTTGTATGGATACTTTTTGAAAACGTTGAAAAATGTGAAAATCTGTTTTTCACCTATAAATAGATTATTTGGAGATTACTGATCTGTTATTGTTGATAGCTCTGAATAATAAACCCATTTTTCAGAATCTCCTCAGAAATAACAGGAGTAATGTTGTTTATTTTGATTGTTGAGAATAATAGAAATGTGAGCATTTGAAAACCGAAGCACAATTTCTTATGTACTTGACTTAACAACCTATCTTTTTAAAAAACAAACCAAACAGTTTTTGCCTTGTCATAATGAGGCACAATGTGTGTATTTTACACAGTTTTAAACAGAAAAAATATTGTCAGAAACTACTAGAGGGTGCACAAAACTTCACTTAATCACATACTGACAGGCTGGCATCATTGCAGACAGATATGAGTTTATATAGATATATATTTTTAAATGTGTGTGTCTCCTGTCTCTGCCTCTGTTTTCAGGCCACTCTAAAGAAGTACCAGAGTGAGCGAAGGTCTCAGTCGGAGTCGATCGAGCGCTGTCAGTCCCAGCTGAAGAAACTCCGCAGGAAGAGCCAGGGCAGCCGTCACCCAAACAAATATGGAGACAGAGAGATGCAGGTAAAGCGACATTTACAGCCCTAACTGGGTCTAAATTGGTTCCTGAAAAGCTGCAAAGCAAAGTTTATTAGGGAGACAAAGCCCTCATTCACAAATCCTAAACATTTCTCAGCATTACCACAGATTATAAATCAGAATTAGGCGAGTGATTCTGTGCGAAGTGGGCCAGGATATGATTTAAAAACAATCATATTCAGCTGGATTTACAGGAAACAAGAAACTCAGAACAAAACCTGTATTTTTTCTAACATGTTTAACATGAATATGTTAAATATATATTTAGTTATACTGAAGAATTAAGCTAATAAAAATACAGTAGAAAACATTTTTAAACGTTAGTGTAAATATATACTGTTTCTGGTGAGGAATAAATTAGGACACACACACAGATTCATCACATCCAGCAATGTTTCTCTGCACCTTAAATAAGGTTTCCTCATGTCATAAAGTCTCTGCTCTGGTTACCAGATATCGTCAAAGTTCACTTTAAAATCCTGCTGGAAATGTTTAGGGATTTGCCAGGTCAAGCTCTTAATTACATTTCTGACCTGTAAAAGCATTACACCTAAACTTAGAACCTCAGAGAAGCAACCCAGAGACTACAGCTGATTCTTCAGACCCATTTTAAAAGAGGTGGCACCATTAGGAGGAAACTGGAAAACACATTTTTGTTGCTTTCTTTTGTTTACTGAGTAAAATTTGTTTTGTTTATGTTGGTGTTTGAGTGCAATTCAATAATTTCTTTCTGAGAAATAAATTAAAAAACTAATATTTTGTAAACACTTCAATGAAGCGATAAATGAAAGACCTGCCTTTTTATTTATAGTTGACATTAAAGTTTGTTTTTTATTATTATTTGAAATGCATGCATATACTGAGGCTTAAGGTGAAATCTGTTGGCTTTTGCTTCAGTTTGTGGAGCTGATGAGTCGTCGACAAGGCGAGCTGGACGCGCTGGTGGCGACAGGCTACAAGTCTGCACTTACAGAGGAGAGAAGAAGATACTGCTTCCTGGTGGACAGACAGTGCTGCGTCACCAAGCTGCTCATTAACTACCACTCCAAGGTGACCTGCTCACGTTTATTTACCACTGTGTGTTTTTATACCTGTCCTCACTCAAACACAGATGTTTTCATATTTCTGAAAATTCACTTAATAGATTTTCCTTTCTGTCTGCCTCAAAAAGCAAATCCACTTTCACTTTTACGTGGTAGGTCAAACAAAAGTGACTGATCATGCTTAATTGAACAGGTTAGGGTAGGCCTATGAGCTACAAAATAGGTTTATTGCATTTCTTGAACAAAATGATTCTTAGACAATGAGATTTTAATCTGGTCAGTTCTCAACTTTTACACTCGCACTTGAAAATGGCTGCAAACAGATTAGCAATTTTATAACCGTACATTTTTGAAAAGCAGAAGTGGAGCCTCCTGCACAACCAACACAAAAAATCAGCAACTAGTTTCTGAATAGGAAGTCAACAGCAAAACACTTGTCTTTTCCAGCAGCCATTGTTCACCACATAAAGCGGTAAAAACCAGCAGACCAAACATGCTAGAGCTCCACTTGGGTTGCTAGGTGACGGGCTGGGGTTGCTAAGTAACGGCGTAGTGCCAGTGGATTGTGACTTAACAATCAGGAGGTTTTTGAAACAGGTCATTTTCCACACACCAAAAGAGGGATTTTCCAAAAAACATGTCGGTTTTGTGAAACGCTTTTACTGTTTTTAGAAACAGTTGACCAAGTGGAAGTGGAAAATAAAACGTTGAGCTCTGCTTTGAAAGGTGTTTTCTGATGCGATCCAGGTGAGAGAGCTTCTGTCGCAGAAACTGTCGTCCTGGCAACAGTCATGTTCTCAGCCCACGAAGCTCCCGGAGCGGGCCCTCAACCTGCTGCGTCACACCGCGCCGCAAACCCCAGGGGCTGCTGGGATAGCTGAGGTCCTCCGTCACACCAAGCTGGGTACCGCTCAACCAGAGCAGGTCAGATCTTGTTTTGTTTTCTTCTTCTTCTTCTTCTTCTCAAAGCCTAATTCTTGGGTTGGAACTCACTTACTGTCAATTTAAATATGTTTAAAATAAAACAACCTCTGATTGTGTCAAAAATAGCACTGTTTTATGTTTGAAACATTTTACTCCTTCTGCTTCATATGATTCTGTTTATGTTGTTTAGATTACCTTTACTTGTTTTACTTGTTTACTACTATTCTATTTCTTAGTAGTATCTTATAGCGTTTGTAAAAGCCCATAGGAAAAAGTATTGGAAATTAGCTCATGCTACAGGCATGGGAGCGCTTTTTCATTCAGTTTGTCTATGTTATTGTGAGCTACTGGAAAATACGTCTAAAAAAAAAAAACTTATCACAATATAAACGTTTCATGTCAGCTAATGTTGATAATTTGTGATAGATAATTATTGATTAGTATTTTGTTTTAAATATTACAAACATGTGATGTGACCCGTCCACTTTAATCCAGTTTTCACTCCACGCCGTTTTAAAAAAAATAATTTTTAAGCAATTGCGAGGCTCAGTGGCAAAACCTGAAACTTCTGCTGCTCAAGTTACTCAACAGCTCGTTGCTAGGTAACCACAAGTTACTCAGCAAGTTGTTGCTAGGTAACCAAAGAGAGAGTGAGTTTAGTTGATTCCACCAACCTTGCTCGGCTGGCTGAGAGGTTGAGCAGCTAAAGTCTTTCCTCTGCCTACATCTCCCAGGCTGCAGTGCGGTTCTGGATTGGAGTTCAGTGAAAATATTCTATATATTGAATATTCAATATTCTATCAGATGTATTATCTATTGATATTAATCCTGTGTTTATTGTGACATATATTTCTACTGATTTACTGTCCAGCCCTTTGTTATTATACATTGTTCCCAATCAAATAGCCTTAATAGATAAATAAAAAAATATGTGTATATTTTTAAATTTTGTCAGCTTCCTCGACTTTATCCCTCATTCCATGAGACTACTAAGCTTTTCATTATTATTTATTTACTTATTTATTTATTGTTGGAGAATTGCAGCAAAATTTTAAGTGAAAGACAATAAAGTCTGTCTCTGTCGACGTCTGTCTTCTTGTACTCAGAAGTAACTGTCCAACGAAACTGTAAACCAGCGGTGTCAAACTCATTTTCATTTTGGGCCGTATCAAAAATCTGAATGTTTTTAAGGAGCCGGTTGTTCCAGAATATATTGATAAAAACCATTAAATTGTTAAAATATTTACAAATAGCTGTTTCAGCATTCAAGTGAAATTATGTTGAACATCCTTTCACACTGATCAGCCGAACCAGGACTTTGTGATTGTTTTTGTGTTTTTTTTGCAATCAAAATCATAGCTTTTGTGGTGATAATTTAGAAATATTTGTAAGGAATTTCTAAGATATTTGAGCTAATATATATTAAATGTGACCTTTTATTATTTGCTGTATCTGTCACATATATAACTTGACATCAAGTGAGGATGAGGCAACCACGAGTTAAACCCAAAGTTTTTGGCCAGTTTTGAGAAAAAATGTCAGTAAAACCAGAAAATAAGTTGGGAACCGTCGATTTTGTGTGAATTTTGGGTATTTGTGAAAAACTGGAAGGACTTATTGATGTAATCTGGAGTCTAGAGGGCCACATAAAAAGCTATGGTGAGCCAGATTTGACCCCCAGGCCTTGAGTTTGACACACGTGCTGTAAAGGAACAAAATGAATGGCATTTCTGCTTCTTCTTCTCTAGTTTTCATGCAGTGTTGTTTGATTTTCAGCGAGTTTCCGTCCAGGAGGTTCCTCCTCTGCTGAATGGAGACTCAAGCCGCTCCCAGCAGCCGCAGCAGCAACAGCAGCAGCAGCAGCAGCAGCAACAGCAGCAGCAGCAGCAGCAGCAGCAGCAGCAGCGATCGCTCCCTTCTTCCTCCTCCTCCCACAGCGACTCTGGTCCTCCTCAGGGCTCCCCTCACGCTTTCCGCACTGCCTCTTCCACCGCTGCAGCTGCTCCTGCTCCTGGGTCTTCTCGGGGAGCTTCTCCTCAGCACACCAGCACCCCCCTAAGCACCTCAGTGAGCCCCCTCTCCGATGGCGGCCCATCAGCATCTGACACTGCCACCTCTCTCCTCCTGGCCTCCAACACGTCCAACCTGTCCCCAAGCCTCATCCCTTCCACAGTGATGTCCCTCAGTCAAATCTCTCAGAGCAGCAGCTCCTCTCAGGGCATGACCCTCCCCATCCTGCACAGCGCCCCCCACAGTCCACCGCTGTCCCACAGCGCTCCTCTCTCCAGGGCTTTGACCCCGGTACAGCTGCTGCACCAGCAGGTCGGACCCGGCGGGAGCCACACGCTGTCTCAGTCACACAACCCCTGGCTGCTGAAATCTGGGGACGTTTCTGCTACCGCAACACTGCCTCTGCCAAGGAGACCAGTCAGTGAAATGAGGCTGGGTGGCTTTCAGGGTAAGATGCTGGTTTTAATTTGCTGCATGTTTGTTTGGTCCCCAAACTGAAGTTAACAAAATAACAAAAACTGAAATCGACTAGCCTGCCCATTGCTTCCTGTGCTCAAAACAAATCTCATTTACAGCACCATCTGGGTTTTCTTCCCTTCGCTTAATTTCCTGCAGTAAATTTTCCACTGGGCCAATCGGGGAACAGGAGAAGTTACTTTGCCGTTTTGAATTCTGCGCCTAAAAATTAACCAAAGTGTGAAAAAAACTAAAACTACTACTGTAGCTAATTAAAACTAAGCAATATTTAATTATAAGCTATCAGGAGTTTCTTTGGATAATTATAAGCTAAATATTGAAAAATAATGACAATATTAATTAAAAATAATTTTAAAAAAAATCCACCCTTCCCTTGAATCTTCCTTCTAATTTCTCCATCTTACTCTTTGCCAGGCTCCAGTCTTCCCAGAGTGCTTCCGTTATCTGGAGTGACCCATGTGGAGGCCTTGTTCGCTCACACACCTGGAGCGTTGGACGGTGCTGGAGGAAGTTTAGGAGGCGGGGCTTGCTTACTTCACTTCCTGCCCGGGGATAACATCACCCTCCTCATCTCTGAGCCCAGAGATGGGTGGCACTACGGTCAAAACGAACGCACCGGACGGTATGACGCTCTGCCGCTTCACAAAAAAACTGATAAAGTTTCTACTGTTTAAAGGCGACTTGTTATGCTTCCTGGAACAGGTTGGAATAGGTCTGTGGTCCATACAGAACATGTTCATAACATTTTTTGCTTAGATAATCAGATGTCAGTCTGGTCAGTTATGTGTATTTTGACCTCTTTTCAGAATGAGACGTTTTATGGCGTCTTGTCACTTTAAATCCTGATCAGCTGCTGCTGGCCACACCCCCTAACTCAACGTTTACACAGATTCACAATTATACAACCGAATATTTTTGAAAAACACTCGTCTTTTCCAGAAGTAAAACCAGTTGGCAAAAACATGCTGGAGCTCCATTTGAGTTGCTAGGCAACAGGCGGGGGTTGCTAGGCAACAGGGCTGGGCTTGGCGGGGGTTGCTAGGTAACAGGGCTGGGCTTGGCTGGGGTTGCTAATGGCGAATGTCACTTAACAATCTGGAGGTTTTTAAAATGGCTCATTTTCCAGACACCATAAAACATCAACCTATTGCCAGCAAACACCTGGGTGGTTTTTTATGTGCTTGGGCGTTTTTTTTTAGTAACAGTAGAGACCCAAATGGAAGTACAAACAAAATGCAAAATGTAATTTTTTTTTAACAAAAGAAACTATCCTGTTCAGATCTGTCTAGGCTAAGTATCCAAGATTTTGAACTAAGGATTAAATGTTGCCAGGACTCTTTAATCACAGAAATAGTTATTAAATTAAGCCTTAATTGGAACCGAGAAGCATTTTCCATTGATTTGACTTTTTAAAAAAGCAATAGAAAACTTGTTTTTGAGTGTATTTGTTGTGCTTGGTTGCTTGTATGTTCATTAAAAAACATCCTCTGCTGTTTGGCTTGTCAGTCTGCCTCAAATATTGACTTTTTTTCCAGGAAAGGCTGGTTCCCTTTCTCCTACACCCAACCGCAGCACAGCAGAAGGGATCACCGTGAGGGGTACGAAGACAGAAAGCAAAGATTTCTCCAGACATTTGGCATCAATGATGACAATGGAGTTTCCCTATTCCTGTTCACTAGTTTCTATTTTCAGTTTAGCTGCAATATTATGTCATTTATGTGTTTGGTTCAAATGTAATTGTTGCTCATTTTGATGTTAAACCTTGCATTTGATCTGAACATCTTCCATAACAAAAGCAGCACAGAAAACCAGGTTATATAATAGATTTTGGTTCATTTTTTCCTTTCTGTCATCTTCAGCCCAAAACTTTTTTTCCAATTTCCAAAAGTTTGTTGACGATTTTACTCAATATCAACATTTCTCTGGTTTCATTTTGCCTCCTCATGTCATTCTTTCTTCTCCATTTGACATTCCTCTGTAGCTCTCTCTTGCTATCGAAGGCTAACAGCACCAGCACCGGACAACTTGACAAGCTGGTGTCTGCAGGTCTCCCTGCCCTCACCCCCGAGTCTGAGGAGGAGCGCTCCCTCCCTCCTCAGAGGGTCAGCACCTTCCGTCCGCGCCCCTACAGCATGGCCGACAGCAACAAGGTGAGGCGTTTAAATTGTAGAGCTTCACAGCCTCGTGTTTTCTAGTTTTTGACGACAAGTTTCTTCTGGTTTGCAGATCACATCAGACTTAAGAGCTTCACCACCATCACCCACCAGGTAATGTTTGGAGAAACTAAAGTTTAATTTAGAAACTGAAAATAAATATAACGCAGCTTGCAAAAAAAATATAAACGTCTTGTGTGAATCTGTACAATCTGTGACTGACTCTACCCAGTATGTAATGAGTGATGTTTTCATAATCCTGTGACCAAGAAGCTAGTTTTCCACGTTCTGTCAGAGCGTACAAGTTTATTAATAAACTAACTGAAAACTGTCTTGTTTCAGGTCCAATCCCTTTGCTCACGTCCGCCTCAGAAAAACGGTCACCAACGATCGCTCGGCTCCCATAATCGAGTGACGTTGCTGTTCATCTGTTCATCGAGCCTCAGGTTCAGTCCTGGAAGCTGCACACTGTGCTTGCAAACTGTGATTAACTTTTGTCTTTTTTTTTTCTCAGTTGAATCATGTAAAATGTTTGTGTACAATGTTCAAAACAAATATGCTTTTTAGCTAAAAAAAAAAAAAAAAAAAAAGAAAATGTTTATTTGATTTTGATTTAATTGTAAGACATGGAAATGCAGTGCAACAGAAATGTGCCAATTAAGATAAATAGTAAATTTGTTTCTGTTTGAGAGCATCATGCTGCATTTTACTCTTCAGAAATGTGACTAAGCTGTGGTTAGCTCTAAGATGTGAAGGTTGCCTTTTGTTTCTTATTTTTATTTTGTGCCATATTCAGAAAAGTGTTAAAGTTCTGGTGCAACATGGACTGGATCCTGTCACATAAGGTTTCACACATCGACCACAGAAGTATAATTGGGACGAGGACCGGCTCCTTCTCTGCAGCGCTAAATATTTTTCAAAAAAGCTTCCATGTTTGTTGCATTTTAGTGAAAGACGGCATTTAAATGCTTTTAATTTTTATTTTATAAAGTTAATTGTTTAGATAAAGCACAGGGCATATTTTAATGAAACTGAGACAATAAGTTGGTTTGTTTAAATTTTGATAACCATAAATAGGAAGTGACTAAACGCACAAATCTTAATTCCAGTTAACACTAATGTTTCTGCTGCTGTAACATTTTCTATTTGTCGTTGATTGTGAAGGTTTTCAGATTATTTTAACTTGCTTCCTTGAATCAGGATGCAAAGAACAGAAACTCATTCAGCGTTATTTTTTTAACTATGACAATGTGGCTCCGATTCAGTATTCATAAACTTGCACACTGTGGAGCTGAACAGGTGAAGGTTAAAAGGAAAAGTGAATTTTTATTTAGAAGATGGAAAGTTGGGGAGGATTAAAAGTTTAGGAAACGAGGAGCTTGCATTTTTAGTCTGGATTTTATGTCTTGATTCCTTTTCAGACCTAAATCTAAAGCTCTCCCCCATCTATAGACTAGCTGATTGTAGATACGTGTTTACGAGTCAGACTGAGCAGAATCTTAAAGAGTGATGTGAAAGCCAAGGAGGAGGACATGACTGAGCTCACTGTGGAAGTGTTTTCAAAAGAAAGTGAAGGAGAAAGCATACAGGAAGTTGACCTATGTCTAAGCAAGTATTTGTCAAACTGAAGTCATATTCAAGGATATATGAGAATAAAAACATCCTCTGTGCAAAATAAAAATTATTCTCTTCTGTATTCAGTCACTGTGACATTCCAGCACCTTAAAGATGTAAGGTGTAACAATAACAGCACAAAATTATTTTCAACACAAAATAATGAATGTCAAAACGATTTACTGCTTGTTTTAGCTTGTAAATGTTGCTGAAAAGTGGCAGCACTGCATAATTCATCCAAATCTGAGGTCACTTTACCCAAGATGATACTTTGCGTAAATTAAGACCTTTTTTTTCTTCACAAAATGTAATGGAACTAATTAGTTTCTTTCAGGTCACCGGTATTTTTGTAAAGCTAAAGGAAGGTTCCCTGTAGGTTCCTGAAAATAAAGAGTAAATTTCAGACATGCATTGCATGAGAATTTCAAGGAAAGTACCAAGAAAGTTCTGGGAAAGCAGCCAGTAAGTCTGATGAAAGTTACAGGAAAGTAACACCTAAACTGCAGAAAAATTACGTTCTTCAAGAAAACACGTGCTACAATGAAAACACATTTATGGCAACGTTTTCACTTTGGTTGAATGTTTTAGTTTTTCAGCCGCTTCGACACAAAATCACTGACTGACTGCAAGTAGTTGACATTTTAAATTTCCTTTTGCAGCCTGTAGAGGTCTTGATGTCTACAAAGCTCTGAAATAAAACCACTTTATATTTCAGTTGCTAAATCTCATAGTAAGAGCGTTTTCTGTGTTTATTTGATCATAATTTCTGGAACATTATCCTCCTTCAAAACCTCATGACAACATTTTCAGCTTATTGGTTGTGACCATCAGTCTTTTTGTTAAAGTGTTATAATATTTCAAAGAGTACTTGATGCCACACACTCCAATAAAGTTGCAGAAAAACGGTTCTCTAGCATCACGTTTGTCCTTCATCATCTCAAATCTTCCACCGAATGTCACGATGCGTTTAATTCACACACAGATAGTAGCTACGGTTGAAAAGCTCTTGTGAAGACGTGGCGACCCCAAGAGGTCACTCTGTCGCAGTTCTCTGTTAGTGAGCTTTAATATGAGAATTTTTATTTTTCTTACCATCCTCATTGCTATGTGTCAAGGCAACATAAATTTGGGTCTATGTCATGTTATATTATTATCTATGAAAATCATTCCAAGTTCCCAGAAACTACATGACTACCTTTATGTTAAAATAATGTTGTGGTTGCTTTTATTTCATAACAAATTGTTAGGAATTCAAAATTTGCACTGATAGTCTCTGAATTTTGCTTTTTATTGCAGAGCAACTGAATCTATTTGGATTAATTTTACATTTTCAAGAGAGAAATTATCTTACTGAAATAAAAAATATATTCTTAGGATTTGTTACACATTTTTATCAAGCTTAACAGTGAATATGTCCATGTGTTTTTTAATGGGGAAAGAACAATTTGTGTTGAATTTGTTGTTTTATTAAATATACTCGCATGCAAATATAAATGCATGTAACAAACCAGCTGTAACTGATCCATCATGGTGTTAAACTGCATATGTCTGTAATATCAACAGAAACTCATAGCTTGGCTTGTATTTGGATTTAACAATTTTAAGTATTTATTGTTGGTCACCATTGTTATTTTCCCTGTTACAACTGAACTGATCACAAGTTTAAAATTACTCCACTGAAGTGAAAGTATTAAAACTTAAACATGAACTCCTGAAGTGACACACAGGCAGCATATAACTGTACTATGACATTATTACACTGTGATTAATGAAGAAAAACAATGGATTTCTGATTATTCACATACTGTGAAATAAATGTTTATATGATAAATGCTGACAGTATATTTGCAAAGTGATATTTTCACAGAACTTAACATTAAGTTAATGTATGTGCTTTTATGTATAAAATTTAAATTTTCAGCTTTGTTTGCTGAAATGTGAATTTATTGCGTTTTAAATCTCTAGTTGATGATGATGTATGCCTTTGTATGAACTGAACATATTTTTTCTTTACTTGAATGTTTATCAGTAACTCATAAATCTTAAAAAAAAAAAAAGTTGGGATGAGCAAATCAGAAGTTGGTCATCTGCACCTAAAACCAAAGCAAACGTCTTTCGCTTTCCATTAAAAGAAACAACACATTCAGATGTAGCTGTTAGAAAATGGAATAAGAAAGGCTGAAAACTCTTTTTCTCTCTGTTCAATGCTAATTTATACTATTTTGTCCTATCAGTTTGTCAGATACACAACAAATCAATCTGACAACAGTAGGATTAAATAGAATCTTTACTGTGATGCAATTACAATTGGGCAAACTGAAGAAACACACAAACAGGAGCAGCAACAGGTATAATGCTCATTTTATAGCTTTTTAAGCCATTCCAAGCTTCTTCCTTTAGCTTCACAGGGATGTGAGGGAACATCAGGCATGTTTCCATCATCCCTCACAGGAACTAAAAAGGAATGATTAAGAAACACACACACACACACACTTTATTGATCAGCATTTTTAAATATCAAGAGCTTGTTCCACACAACTCACAAACAGAATTATACCATGACATCTGTGAAATGACGAGTTTACCTGGATAATTGTATGGCGTGACTTGATTTATCATTCCTGCGTATTTTGAATAGGGGCTGATGAATGGAAGAATAATACCTGAAAATACAGATTATTGGTAAATGTGCATGATTACAATAGCAGAAAATATAAGTCTCTTTATTTTATTAGTAGTACAATCGGTAATCATTTAAAAGTTGGATGAACATTAAAAAAAAAACAGTGTTGTGCTGATACTGTGCAGTACACCTGGGCTTCTTGCTTACCTACAAGGCCAATCCCACAGGAGACCAGGATAACTGGCTCCTTATTCCAAGCATTTTTCAGGAAAGCTCCAATTCCTGCAGGAAAACCCACGGCAGTGTTTAAAATTCGCATCAACTGCGGTGTGGCTAGCAGAATTAGCTCATGTTAGCAACACATTCAAGGTCAGAATTTTCCTTCCCTTTCAAAAGCTTACCTGTGCTTTAAAGTCACGCCAATATAAGGTTTGTCTTGATTCTAACAGCAAATGTACTATAAATAGTACCAGCATTTATTAAAGCTGTCTTTAATAAATGAAGTTTAGAAAAGCCACAAAATAAACACGTACCTGCCATCATGTCCGGTGTAGCGTCAGGACAGAGGGTGTTCATGGGAAATGTAGTAGAAGGTTAAATGACGTATAATTTCTGCGTCGGTCGCACATAAACACAAAACGAGGTGAGATTGAGCCATTTTTATTTTTTGACGATCTTATTGTTTTAAATTCATTCAATTTGAATGTTTTGTTAATGATTACCCCCCAAAGAGTTTACTTAGGTAAACGGAGGTGTTTCATGTAGTTTATAGAAAGTTTAAAGGGAAAGAAACAGCTTTTAACCGCTGCTGCTACAGCCGTGGCTATGCTGTTTATAATCTCAGAAATTACTGGCTGGTGGTTATACTGACATTTACTGGGATTTATATAGCAATTGAAAATGTATCTTCCAGCTTAATGAGTTGAAATTGATGCCACACTCATCCTTTTAAGTATTGTATCTTTAAAAATATTTTTCAACGCAGTTTTGATGTTGGGTTGATGTTTTTTGTTCTCTTTAGATGATGGAGGACTTCTCTGGGTTGGCTCTACCTCCTCTTTTTGGAGGACACATTCTGGAGGCTGAGTTGGAGCCTGGTGGTGTAGAGCTGGGACCAGGAGAGGTATTAATAAATATTAGTTTCTTCTGTGATAAATAGATAGATAGATATTTTATAGATTTTTTGTTGTTGTTGTATTTCTTTCTGTCAGGTGGAGCTTGACCCAGATCCAGGTGGCAGCGAGCTGCTAGAGACCACAGCTCAGGAAGACGAAGAGAGGAGAGCTCTTGACA